CTTCGTGACATTTCAGGCGGTCTTAGTTTACCAAAACCGCGTACTAACAAAATAAAAAATAGTTTCATGTATGACGGAGCACACCTTTGGAATTCTATTCCAAAGGAAATTAGGGAAAGCAAAACTCTTTCATCCTTTAGAAATAAAATCGCTGCTCACAAAATTGACATAGAGTAAATTGATGTAACTGTAAATATTCTAATAACCTTCTTATCATGTAAACAATTTAATATTCTATCTTTTTAAACTTAAGTATTTTAATATCTCCATGTAACATTTTTCTATTTTTGCACACGCCCCCCGTGGAAATCAGCTTCGGTTGACGGGGTCAGCGTGTATAAATAAAGTATCTATCTATCTATCTATCTATCTATCTATCTATCTATCTATCTATCTATCTATCTATCTATCTATCTATCTATCTATCTATCTATCTATCTATCTATCTATCTGGAGTCTTTTAAAATTTTTACTGGTATTTTATCTTGTCCACTTGATTTGGAGACTTTAAGCTTACTCAAAACAGTTTCAACTTCATCATTAGAAACCGATTTGAACTCAAAAACAGCACTAAACGACCGATCAAGATATTCTTCAAATCCTTCTTTACTTGGTGGAATCCTGTTGGATAATTCTGTACCAATTTTTGAAAAGTAATCGTTAAAAGTTTCAGCAATATCATCCTTACTAGTAAATATTTGATCATTTGATTTGACTGAAATTACATTTGTTTTTTTAGAGGTTTTCCCAATGAGTTGGTTTATATTTCTCCACATTTCCTTAGAGTTGTTTTTTGAATTACTAATTACCTCTTGAAAATAACTAGCTTTCGTATTTTTAATCAATCTATTGACATCGTTCCTAGCTGTTTTCTAGGCCTCATGGAAGCGAGAAGATTCATTTTTAATAACTGCTTTCTTCTTTAACGTATCACGATAGTTCATTATCTTTATTAACTCTCCATTCATCCAGGGGGTATATTTACTTTTGATTTTTTTTAGCCTAATAGGAGCATGTAAGTTGGAAACCTCATTGAACCTATAAGTTCTTTGTATGTTTGCATGGCGATAAAATATAATAGTTTTGTTTGTGGAAACACCACGTAAATTTATTACTGCAAAGTTTTCGATCCATAAGCCCGGATCTTCTTCTTCTTCATTCTCATTGAACCTATCCTTAAATTGTTTTCAAAGCGCATTTGGATCATCACTGCTCCAATCACAATTCGAAAGTGCGATGGAAAGATCCCTTTTGAATTCAAATGTTTTGTAATGCTTAAAAGTCCTTGTTTCTACAATTTTTGGTGACGTTTTGCTAAATGATATCTTTCTGCAGCCATAAATAAGGCTACGGTCACTGACACCCATATGCACCACCCCAGAATTAATAATAGTTTCTGGCTTATTAGTAAAGAACAAGTCCAACAATGTCTGCGTTTCCTCCGTAATACGTGTTGCCTCTGTAATTATCTGCTTAAGTTGAAATAAATTGGCGATATCCAGAAGCCGGTTTGTGATATTGAGTCGATTCACTGCTAAAAGATTGCAGTTAAAATCACCGACCAAAATAATTTCCTTATTCTCGTCGTCTAAGTTTTCAATCAAATTTTCAATAGAATCAAACATCTCAATTCTGGAGTTAGGTGGTCTATATAAGGATGTTACAATTGTTGGTTTTGATTTAATTTTGTTAATTTCAATACAAACTGCTTCTACAGGGTGTATCAAAATAAACGCAATTCATCTTTTGTGCTTAATAACTTTCGAAATACTATTTCTAGTTAAACACTTTTAGGCTTACTTCAAAGCCTGTTCTTTTCTCTTTGAAACAAACTATTATCCTTGTCTCCAATGCTAGTAATAATTGCACAGGAAAAGATTTAGTAAAACCTATCATTTTTAGTTGCTGTTTAATTATGCAAGTTTACTATGTTATTGTTTAGTCGGTTTAAATGTTAGAATTTTCTTCTTTAAACTTTAATATTGTCGTCACTACATCTGGAAAACCACGTAAGAACAAATTAAAAGTATTTTAAAAGAGACCAGGTTGTTTGAAAATCCTAAACGAATGCTAAAATCGTCAAAACATTCTGGTGTCTGAGCCAGAGTGTCATCGAATTACGATGTAATGTAAACAGAAATTATAGCAAGTTGATGTCAGTCAGCTTAGATGGTCCAAGCCAAAATTATATCGCATTTGAAGTTTCAAACTGAGTTAAAAATAGTGGAAGAAAAGCCGTAATTATACTTATTGTTACAATCCATTTAATAAAATGCAACATTTTTTTGTTTTAATGAAAAAATCAGTTATTTCATGAGAACGATTTGTTATTCCATCCCAATTTTTTTAATCTCCAATCGCAATAACGTAACGTATTATTAGCCGCGAACCAATGGGTCAAATTTAAGAAACAACCCACTGTTAGAAAGCTGAATGGCTACGCTTTAAAATGAATGTAAACTTTAACGTTTCCGTCTATTATTTGTTTAGCAATTTACATTTCAGTCGAGGATTTCGCTTTTTTTGATACACCCTGTAGATGTTCAGGGACCAAGTCACAACGTTCTTTTACATTGAGATGATCCCTAAAATATATTGCTACACCACCTCCCTCTCGTGAACGGTCTTTGCGCACAATACTATATCCTTCTATATGGAGTATGTTATTATCTACACTATGGTCTAATCTAGTTTCATTTACACTTAAAATGTCAAGTGGTTTGTCGTGCAGATAAAATCTTAATTTGTGAGGGAAGTAATGTTAATATGGCCGACACGAAAACCTTTAAGTTTTTTAAGCTCATTGCAAATAGTATTTTCATTTAAATTATCAAGTGGTGTATCGTGAATGACATTATTGTCATTATTTATTCTTTCAGATAAAGGGTCATCGCCCGGGATAAATTGGCCAACATCTGGAATCTCATTTTCGCTTAGTGTTAGATTAGCTAAATTAGTTCGTGCAGATATCGCATTTGAGGGCGTTGCTTCTATATTATTTTCTAGTCAATGGTACTTACTTTTATTAGCGCCTAAATATTTTTTATGTTTTTTGCAAAAACGCCAGTTCCCCTTCTATTCAAATGAACTCCATATGGGTTCAAGTGAGATGAATTAATATTATTGTTTTTAATTAGATGCCATTTGCGTTCTTTGCAGAGTTTAGCTAATTGTTCATTGTAAATATTTACCTTTTCAACCATGCTATGATTGTCTGATCTTGTTATAGATAATGTAACTTTGTCATCCTTGTTCTGTCGTGCAATAGTGTAGGCGATATTACCCATAGCGTTAATGACAACAGCAGGGTTATTATTTCTCAGGTTGTTTGTTCCTATGTGCAGAATGATCTCGTCTGGTGTTGTACATAGGGTAGGTTTCACGTAGTGGTTCATATCTTGAATTTTTGTACCTGAGAATATTTTAATCGTAATCTTCTGTTCCAAGCCTTGCTGGATTTTTCTCGGATTAAGGTATTTCAACATAGAGTCCCCTAAGATAGCCACTTTTTTCTGTTTACGCTGACCTTCTAACTTCTGTGTACCTGAGTCTTTCCGGTTAGGCACTTGTTCATTGATCACATTACATTCAACAGTGACTCTCCTCAGTTACTTGAGTACTTGTACCCAAACCTTCCTTAACAGTTTCTTGTTTGTCATTACCAGTATGTTCACTATCATCCTCTACTGTAAGAATTTCAAATGCATTCTTGCATTCAAGTATGTTTCCGAACTGTCGTTTTGAACCTTTTGGTTTTGCCATGCCAGAGTTTTGTTTTAATTTATCATCAACATTAGTGAAGGCACCAATTTCATTGTTACGCCAGGCGTTCATCACAATTTCTTTTCCTTGTAAGATTTTAAGTGCAGTCACTAGACTTTGCTTTTCCTCATCTAACAATTTAAGTTTGGTATTGAGATCTGACATTGCCATAGTGGTATACTCAATTTTTCCTTTAAGGGCAGTATTTTCTTTCTTGAGATTTTCATTCTCATGTTTTATATTAGTCATATAGTCATGTGATATCTTTTCATGAAGGTCATCAGCCTCCTTTAAGTTGCATACCTGCAGTGCCACATCATCAATTTTTGTGTTGAGCTTCTCCTCGATAGTTAATATTCTCTCTAAGATTTGTGCAAAAGCATGCGCCTCACTCAGTTCAGACGAATTTACCTCATTTTCTGTTAGGTTAAGACACTCTTTCTCTGTTTCATTAACAGTGTGGTCATCCATGCCGTCGTCAAAAGTAATTCTTGTGTTATGGTCAGCTAAATTTTGGGATATTGAGGCCAATGACATTAGATGTTCCTCGATTGTTCCTATGGTGTGACAGTTATCGTTTTTGAGTTTCCATACCACTTAATTGCTGTTGTTTGATTTTGGTACAGTTTAGCATCGCCTCCAGGGGAGAGCCATTTCCCGCCCGTTAAGTTCAACGTTTCTTCTACGAAAACTTGTAGTTCACCAAATGACCCTGTCCATAATATTTTCCCCTTGCTATTATAAGACACAAGTTGTGTATAAGACTTCCTCCTTTATTTTCTTGATTCATTTCGGCTGATATCGATTTACACGTGAATGTGTTCGACGAATCGACTAATTTTCTCAACAAAATTAGTTTTTTTGTAGAGATTTAGGCTTGTTAAGGATAAACAAGCTTAATAGCCGCTAATTTTAGTAAATTTGAGACAAACGCGTAAAGATTGAGCCAAAATTTAACACAAAAATTTTAAAATTTAGCGGAGCTCGAAGTTAGACGTCCATGTTGACTCCGTGCTTATCCATGCACATATTTCCTTACGTGTCGCCTTTCGTCCTTCTTTCTGCCTATCCACATATTTCCTTATGTGTCGCCTTTCGTCCTACTTTCCGCCTTTCCAATTTCTAGCTTTCCATAATACCATTTAAGGACAAAATTCCCGTTGAACTGAGATTGCATGTTGTGTATTTGTAAAAGTGTCAATGCTGTGGTGCATTGTCTGTTGGTCAAACTCGCCGACATATACACACGCGTATCTCCGAACACATGGGTGTTTCACCTTTGACTGGAAAGAAACGTTCTGTTTCAACCAATGCTAGGCATGCTCGCTCATACTCACACCACTAAACATCAAATTTCACCCTCTGATTTTAAAATCCTTCTCGCTGCTACTTCTGAAGCAGATTTGCTCATTCGCGAAAGCCTTTTCATACATCAAAGCTTAATACTATTTTAAACGCCAACATTAGGTCAACTCCTCTTGACCTATTCCAATGCTTTGCTAGGTCTCTAATTACTAACTATTATATCTTTAATTTACTAATATTTTTAATGACAGGTTGTTTTTCATCCCTTCCTCTTATTCGCTTATTTGAATATTATAACCGAAATACAACGATACGTTAGCCGATAAATTTTATATTTTGTTATGTCTTGTCTGAAAGTCATTTGCTGGGCTTTGATTTTCATTTTTAAATTACGCTTTCCACCCGATGTATCAATCGCTATTGTTTTCAACTCACGGCGGGTAAAAAATTTATTCTTCACGCATTTCTCTACTCAAAAATACCTTTAGAAAGTTTATTTTTTATTAAATCCTTGAAAGCACTATTTTTGCTAAAAATAGGAAAAAGCTAAATTTTCAACTTAAGATTGTAAAAAATCTAGTGGAGAGCCTCAAAACGAGAGTATCTCTAAATTATTCTTCAAAGATTTCTTAATTCATCAAAACCCAAAAACGGCACAACCGTCTTATTTAGTTTGTAATAGTCTGAATAGGTGCCTGTGAATATGCGGCTAGAAATTGCATGTGTTTGCTAATCCTGTTTGTAAAAAAAGTGTATACGTTGAAAGACTGGAGTCTATTGATTCAGAAAATATGAGCAGTTTGGAAATCATGCAAATACGTTTCCCTCTCTCCAATTTAATACAGGGTGATTTATGGGGGTGAAGATTAGCACAATGAAATAAAAAATTAAAATATTTTAAAATTTTGCCAAGAGCCTCAAAACCAAATATGGTTTAAACTGCTCCCTAAAACATATACTTTGTATTGGGAGGTAATTCATTCATCTCAAAATACGGAATAGTAGGAATTATTGGATATTTAATTCCATCGGAATTGGAGGCAGTTTCGCTGTATAAGGATACGCAAAAGTTGTCATTTTATACATTTTTCTAGCCTCTCAATGTTCTCATACCTTCCTCGCCTTTCCAATAATGGTAGATTAACAATTTTTTGTTAGCAGAAAAAACGAGACTAAAAACGGCAATACAACGTTCAAAAATCAAATCACTATATTTACTCGCCCCAAGTCTCTTTCTCTTAAACCGCGCAAATTGTAGCGCATGCGCAGACAAATTTCCCACCTGTTCCTTGACAGAGTCTTACCAGACAATTGCAGAAAAAATTAACAAAAGTCGCGCGGCCTTAAAAATTATTGCCCATTGTCTTACGTGACGTCAGACTCAGCTTTCATAACGCCGTAGGCGTGAAAGATCTGGAATTTTAACTTCGCTTATTAATTACATCTACATTTTAACAATTTAAATAAACCTTTGTCGAGCGATAATCTTTCCACCAACTTTTGCTTGAATAGCGACCTCAAATAATTGTCTATAAGAAACAGAAAATACATGAATTCAACCGAATATTTTTCACGTGCTGTTGTAGCCAGTGAAAACCATAAAGGGGACTCATTACCCGGCGGCGATTCGGCAAACCGAAATATCATCAATGAGGGTAATATTTTGATAAATCCCCCGAGCGAAGGGTCTATAAATGATATATTATACCGAAAGTTAAAAAACCCACAAAGTTGAGAATAAACTTGCTGAATAACGAAGCGAATACAATGTTTAATTTCTTATTTTAATACACCGAGTTTTTGACGTTTTCTCTTTAAAATATTTGAGCCTGTATCCTTTGGATCATTAAAGGTAACATACCTCTTGAAAATCTTTTGTACAAATTACAAACCTTATTTTGACTACTGCTGCATTGTGTGGGACCCAATTGGCGCCACGCTTTCAAATCGAATTCAGACTTTACAAAATAGAGCAGCAAGGGTCATACTACGGTCAGTCTGAAGCAGCGTTATCCGAGTTGGCTTGGAAACCTTAAAAGAACGCAGGGTGATCATGAAGGCCAGACTTATGTATAAAATTACTAATTCGCAAGCACCAGTTGCTTTGACCGAAATCTTTGAAAATTCACAACAAATCTATAATTTACGTAATAACGAATTCAAATTGTATTTACAGAAACATCACGTAAATTTATTACTGCAAAGCTTTCGATCCGTAAGCCCGGATCTTCATCAGTGCTAATAATATGTATTAATATAAATTTTGCATATCAAATGAGCTTTCGCGCGTCCTGATTGGCTAATTGACTAGTAAATCTGAGGCATTATTTACCACCTGGGTAGTAAATAATGCTTTTCAAATTGTATTTAACTTGAAAGGTAGGATTCCTTTATTATTTTACTGTATCAAACATATTCACGGACAATTTAAAACTTATTTAAAACCGGAGTTTTTGTTTTCAAACAAATAGCAAAAAGTATCCCGACTGTTCAATGGGAAAAACCTTGCCGTGATGTTCTTTTAAATCCATTTTGTTTTGTATCCTATGGCCATAGATTTCTCAATTTGTACGATATGTCATGTTTTCGTTGTTCTGTATGGCGTTCTGACCGCTGTGTTGTGTTTTCGAAACTTGTAAAGTAAAAAGTGTTATTAAAACTTTATATTTTTATATCAAACGATATAGTTTTACATTTCATTTTACCAAATTTCTCATCCATTTCCTGAAAAAATTAATGCTAAACAGAAACTATTTTTAATTCTAAGTCTGGTGAAAAAGTAATTCCGTTATTGTGTTTATATTCTATGCAGAAATCGATAAAAACAACTTTGTAATAAAGCAATAAAGTCACACAAGAAGCCATTTTGGAAGCGTGTGCGTACAAGAAACACTGCAACACTGTTAGTGACAGTAACCGTGAACAGGCCGAAAACAGTTTTATTTCTGAATTTTAATTGAACTGATATTTGGATATTTTATTTTATTCATTAAAAATTTATATTAAAACAATTATTCGCCACAGGCTCAGTGATTACGGTGAATATTCACCTCGACTTCTCATTATTCACCGGTAATCACTTCGCCTTCGGCGAATAATTGTTAATTATGATATGGTTTTGCAGAATCCTGGATTCTGATTGGTTGACGTGCGGTCCGTAAAATGCGTATCCGAACCGTGGTCCTTATTTTCCCGTATCCGGACCGTGGTCCTTATTTTCCCGTATCCGGACCGGTTTTCCGTATGTCAACTTGACAGGCTCGAATTTGAAACGTTTTTACACGTTTATAAGGTCGTTATGTGAAGAAAAAGTATTCTTGGATCATTTTTAAGAATAAGAAAAAAGTTACGAAAGTTACGAAAACAAGCCGTTTGAACTCTTACTGGCAACCGTAAGTTTTGGCGGGAAATTTTTTTTATTTGTTTACTTGTTTCAAAAAATAAATAAAGATGAAATTAACGTCTTTAATACCATATTCTAAACAAATATCATATAAACTGGGTTTAAAACCCAGTTTATATGATACTTGCTTACCAACCTACCAACCTACCAACCTACCAACCAACCTACCAACCTACCTACCTACCTACCAACCTACCTACCAACCTACCTACCAACCTACCTACCTACCAACCTACCTACCTACCAACCTACCTACCAACCTACCTACCAACCTACCTACCAACCTACCTACCAACCTACCTACCTACCAACCTACCTACCTACCAACCTACCTACCTACCAACCTACCAACCTACCTACCTACCAACCTACCAACCTACCAACCTACCAACCTACCTACCTACCAACCTACCTACCTACCAACCTACCTACCTACCAACCTACCAACCAACCAACCAACCTACCTACCTACCTACCTACCTACCTACCTACCTACCTACCTACCTACCTACCTACCTACCTACCTACCTACCTACCTACCTACCTACCTACCTTACACACCCAATGACATAAAGGATTTTGCTTCGCAAATCCTTAAAAACTCACAAGTGCTTGTTATACCCAAATTTCACGAAATCCATCCAATTACAATTACAAAGACTGAAACAACACTGTTTGTCTTTCGTTAGAAGGTCAGTCGCTAATAACCTCCTGACGAAAAGCTCTCGCGTGAAAACGTCGAAATATTTTTAACTAATCCTTTTCACTGAAAGATCCATCCTACTTTATGATATTCGAGTTTTTACCTTGACAGCAAGTTATGTAGCTTTAGGCACAAAGCCTTTCCCAATTCCAGTGCTTTATCAACATGCACCACAGTACTCAGTGCATCCACCGGATTTCCATTCATAAAGATATCCAACTAAATAATTTCAGAACATGAAAAGATTGTTGGGTTGGAATTTGTTTCATCTTGACTGAAATATTATACCAAAAAAAGATTATACCCTTGTGTTAGTACAGTTTAAAACATGATTTACATAGATCAGATGTGATTAAATCCTCTTGACTCAAACAGTACGTATATTTTTAACCAGTTTTAAGCTATCTTTTAGTGAGGTTTTACGTATTTACATTCATTATTGTCTTTTATAATCAGGGGTGGAAAATATAGCGGACCACGGGACCATTGGTCCCAGAAAATTGTTTATGCTGGCAGAAAGACAAAAGGGAGGGAAGAAAAAGGGGGAAAGAAAGAAAAAGGGGGAAAGAAAGAAAAGAAGGAAAAGGAAAGAAAGAAAAGGAAAAGGAGAGAAAAATAATAGAAAGAAAGAGAGAGTAACTGCTAGAGGTGTGCAAATCCGATCCGAAACCAATCCGAATCCGATCCGATCGGATTCGTTCGGATTTCGGATCGGATTGATAAAGTTGTTTCATAGTCGGATCGGATCGGACTTCGATATCCGAAATAAAATGAATTAATTATCCACGCATTATCCATGTCATTTATCAAAGCATTATCGCGGTTGTCGCTGCATTATTCGTTTGAAACTTCAATTGGACGTCTTTGTCAGCTTCTTGACATGTATTTCTTGCTTTTATATTTATTTGGTTAAATATTTCAACTTGAATGAGAAATTTATTTTATTAAAGAATTCTTCGGATCGGATTGTAATTCTTTATCAAAACTCGGATCGGATTCGGATTAGACAATTTCGGATCGGATTTTAAACATTAGGCAATTGTCGGAATATAAACGTCCAATCCGATCCGATGCACACCTCTACTAACTGCACCAATAAGTAGCCATTTTGATCAGGGACAGACACTAGGTGTAGGGGGTGCCCCAAAAATAACTTGCAAAAGAACTTTGTTAGCAGAATGTAGCCTCATTTGCAGGCTTTAACCCCTTTGTTGACTTTGTATCGTACCACTGCCCTGGTTCCAAAATTTGCTATCTGTATCGTTCCCCTCCCTCCTTAATTTCAATTCCCAATTTTTATCTCTATAGGAAGTAGTAACAGTAACAAATGACTTTATTAGCATGACTTTACATACAAGTATTGCTTATAAGTTGGTATAAATATTTACAAATGCAAAATGTTTTGTGGCAGTATGACATACTGTCAGTATTGAGTAATATAAGGAATAGTTTACATACGAGTACCCTATTTACAGAATATAATTGAAGAAGTTTGGGTTTTAGTTAAACAGCCTATTCACTGTCAGCATTCATGGCTTCAATGCATTTAGATCTCTTCTCAAAACATAAAGAGATGAATTTCGATAATTTTATCACGATTTCATTATCAGTTGATTTCATTATCTCAAATGGTAAACTGTGTTCGTTTAGATCTGCTTCATTGGTTGGATCACATTCCAAGTAATTTAAAAAGTTTTCGCGAAGACTACTATAAGCTTAAACATATAAGAATTCACAGGGAGTTAGGAAGTGATGTTCTGTTTAAACTTCTCCTGACTGGCAGACCTTGCTTACTCGGTCTTCTCACGGAATAAACAAAAGATGGACATTTATTTTCCCTCCTGGCATCCAATATTTCACAAAGTGTCTGCCATATTATATAAAGCACAACTAAATGGAATCATAGTTAATAGAAAATACACATTGCTACGAAGATTGGTAAACTTCAAGTAATTTCCTAACCAAACTTCAATTGATGTTGAAAACTTGAAATGTACCTGAAAGTACACAATTTGTTGATCAATATGACAATCTTTATACGGTTGAAGTCTGAGATTTCCATTGGGCAATCCCTTCATTATACAGAACAAAATGTTCACTCACTGTGAAAGTGCATAAATTTCCATAAAGGCATAAAGGTGAACAAAAAATTTTTAGGTGAACAAAAACATAGAACTTACAATACCTTTTGTCCAACTTCCAAATCATGTTCGACATTGTTTGTTTTAAGACTATTAATTATGATGCAAATATGAGTCAAAACCACCATGGAAAGCACACAAATTCACAGTCTTTCCTCACTTGTTTATTTCAATGAAATCCTTTCCTCAGTTGCATTATGAAAGAAAATCTTCTAGGACTGCCCATAATTAATAGAATAGATGGTTTGGAAACTCATTACTAAGAATAGTGCGTATTTTATTTTTGCCCACCTAACCAATAGCAATGTCTTAAGTACGTTAGCTATCCGTGACTCGAACAATAGAGTAAATTGGAAATTGATATTGGTGGATTTGGCAAAAATACAATACACACGTGACGGTGAAGGATCAGATTTATAAATAAACGTTGACCAACATGGATAATGAGTTATATTGTTATTCTAATGAGTTTCCAAACCATCTATTCGATTAACTACGGACTGCCACAGCTTTTATATGGTACTATGGTTATTTAATAATTCTTAAATCTTATTAGCCCTCTTTGCAAGTGACCTTTTAATTAATTTAAATTATACAGGATTTGCGTCGACAACTCGCAGAAAATTTTCCCACTTTTCGTTGCGGTCCCAGAAAATATTTTTTTCCCCATCCCTGTTTATAATGCTCAAAGTTTTGACCAACAGCGGCATCATGGACTAAAATTATATTTTATGATATAGTCTTCAATTCATAAACTGTCACCGAAACTTCTACTCTGTTCATATGTAGTGTTTTATCTGCTGAATAGTTTTATTAAATTAAACTATAATGCGGACAGTTGTTTTATGCGAAGACCAAACTTCTAGTTGAATGCTTTGAAACGTTTTCACACCGCTTTTAACAACAAACCTAATTTTAAAAAAAACGCTGTATTAGTTTTCACTTTTTTTGTATTTTGAGCATTATGTTTTAGTTTCATCTAAAACAAATAAAAATATCTGTGTGATATATGTATTGCTGAACCAACTACAAACCATACAGCACGTTTCGCGTTGTTTACGCATTATAACTTACATGCATGTAGCCTGCAAATAGGCGTTTATTCAGGTGGGTCTGTAATAGTAATAAACGCATGCTGGCATGCCTTATAATTTTGAAAAACTTCGTTCGCCCACGAACGAAGCCTTCTAATTGGAGAATTATGGTCACATATGATTGACATTAAGTAGGAGGTCTGTGTTTATTCTGTGGTCAGCAAAAATTAGCAAAACTTTGTTGATGTTGATCATTAGTGTCTCAAAAAATCCCGCTATGGAAATTCAACAGGTTTTTGCCTGCATCATAAACGTGGCTAAACAATTCAATTTTTACATAGGGCGAAAGAACAGTTATTTAGCTTTTCAATGATACTCTTTTTAAATCGCAACGATGAGAAATGGCTAAATGAAAATTACCGGTCGAAATCACATTCTTCCACCGTTGGGAAATGCATGGACAACAAAATATAAACAATTCCCTAGAGGGAATTAAAGTTGAATGTTAAATTATCTAAAATGAGCCCAACTCGTCAATCTTCGTCTCAGTGATAGATAGATAGAAACTTTTATTTAAACACGCTAACCATTGTCAACCTAGGCTGATTTCCACAAGGGGCGTGTACAATAATAAAATTACAAAGATATAGTATATAGTAAGATATTACATACAGTAAGAAATATATATATACATAATTATATAAGTATAAGAATAATAATGCTATTCAAAAATGTGAGTATTCAAAAATGTGAGTAGCGATTTTAGTTTCAAAGGACATGATGGAGTTGCTCTCTCTAATTTCGGTTGGTAAAGAATTCCAAATGTGTGCCCCGTCAAACATGAAACTTTTTTTCAAGCTATTTGTACGCGGCTGCGGTAAGCAAAGAGTACTTTCCACATCTCGAAGTTTATAATTTGTCATTTCACTTTTGAAAGTAAATAAATCAGTAAGTGATTTAGGACCCATTTTATTCAACAATTTAAACATCAGTTTGGACTTAGCCTTTATTCTTTCCGTTTTAAGTGGCTTCCAGTCTAAAGCATCTAAAGCAACCAGATGATCTACATCATTGCTCATATTCATTATGATTCGAGCAGCTCTGTTTTGGAGATTTTGGAGGCGTTTTGATTGTGTTTCACCAAACACATCCCATACTTCACAGCAATATGTAAAGTATGGGCGAACAATAGAATTATACACAGAGACAAGTGAATCTTTCTCAACAAATTCTTTTATTTGACGAAGAGCTGATATCCCGGATGTTATTTTCTTGCAAATTGTTTCAGTATTATTGAGACAAATGCTCGTCAACAGTCACTCCAAGAGTTTTGCAATCATATACTTGTTTAATTGGTTTGTTTTCTATGATAATGTTTGGTTGTCTATTTGAGATACTTTTTATCATTGGTTTAGATCCAATTAATATAAATTCTGTTTTGGCCACATTTAAACTTAGTTTATTGGCAATTAACCATTTCCTAAGGTTTTCTAAATCAGAATTCATTGCAGCTTCAACATCATTTATAGATTCTCCCGCAGCTGTTAGGTTTGTATCATCAGCAAACAGTCGAGGTTTTGTTTTGCGTAGACACCGAGGCAAGTCATTAATATATAATAAAAAGAATAATGGCCCTAAAATAAAGCCTTGTGGCACGCCACACTTAATCAACCGCTCCGATGAAATAGTTCCGTTAACTTGGCATTTCTGAGTACGATTTATCAAGTACGATTTTAGTAGAGCCAAAGCATCTCCTTTTACGCCATAAATTTCGAGTTTTTTTAGTAAAATCTGGTGGTCGACAGTATCAAATGCCTTTTTTAAGTCAATTAGTACAACCAAGTTAAATAATTTTTTGTCAATATTCATATACCAACTATTAGTACAGTCTAGTAACGCTGTAGCAGTTGAGTGAGATTTGCGAAAGCCAAATTGACAATCATTAAGTAGCTGAAATTTCGTCAAATAATCATATAGTTGTTCATATAAAATTCTTGCCATAACTTTGCTAACAGCTAGCAAAACAGAAATTGGTCGGTAGTTACCAGGCAAATTTTTTTGGCCATTTTTATAAAGAGGTGATGATACTCTTGCCATTTTCCATTCATCGGGAAAAGTGCATAGTGTAATAGCCTGATTAAAAATATAAGTTAATGAACTGGAGATAGCAGGTGCTGCTAGTTTTAAAATTTTACTTGAAATTTTGTCAATGCCAGTGGCTTTTGCACTAGAGAGGCCACGTAGGAGATAATAAACTTTGTTGGTGGTAATTGACTCAAATACAGTGAATTCTGATTTAGGTTTCTTAATATACTCTTGAAAATTGTAATTCGAAGTATCAATTTTGCTAGCTAAGTCAGGCCCAATATTTGAAAAGAATTCGTTAAAGCCCTCTGCAATGTCTTCTGAATTTGTTAAATTATTTCCACTTATACTCAACTCATTTACTTTGTTGGTTTGTTTTGTCTGCCTAGTAAGTTGTTTATTGTTTTCCAAGCCTCCTTTGGATTTTGTTTTTGACCAGCAATTCTCTTGGAGTAATAATCCTTTTTGGCTTTTTTCATTTCTATATTTACTTTATTTCTGGTTTGTTTTATACACTAACCAATCTGCTTCAAGGTTTTTAATAATGGCTTTTCTCTTAGATCTATCCCTCTTATTTATAAGCTTTTTGATTTCACTAGTAATCCAAGGGACTTTTTTTGATCTGATCTTTTTTTGTTGAATGGGTGCATGCTTATTTAGTACTTCCTCGAACAATTTCTTCCAAATCACCCACATAGTGTTTGGATTATCAGCGAAGAAGTATACATATTCCCAATGCTGATTAAGTAAATCTTCAACAAATTTTTTGTCATCAAAGTTTTTCATATTTCTAATTTCCACTATGTTTTCATCTTGTTTCTTAGAAATATGGATTTTTCTGACGGTAAATACCAAACTATGATCACTGATTCCTGTATGAATGACACCAGAATCTGAGATTTTCTTTGGTGTATTAGTAACTATATGATCAATGAGGCTGGAGGTTGTCATGGTTACCCGAGTAGCTTCCTTAATTAATTGTGACAATTGATATAGTTCATACAGTGATTTCATTTTCTTGGTTGGTGTATCGGATTCTGTTTTAAGCATGTCACAATTTAAATCACCTAGAATATACATTTCTTTATTTTCATCATCAATCGCTTTTATTAATTTTTCAAAATTTTCAAAAAAATCATGTGATGAATTTGGTGGTCGATAAATAGTTGTAACCAAAAATGGCCGACTATGTGGCTTACTAATTTCTACACAAACAGCCTCCAATTCGGAGGGAATAAGATCATTTCTTATTTTATAGTTGATTGAGCTACGTAAGTATATACAAACTCCACCCCCATTTCTTGATCGGTCTTTTCTAACAATGTCATAGCCATCAAGGTCAATCACACAATCAGAAATATTTGAATCAAGTCGGGTCTCACTAAAACCAATCAGGTCAATGTGTTTGTTGGACATTGAGTAACGTATTTCATCAATCTTTTTTGGCAAACTGACAATATTTAGGTTACAACACGAGGAGTAAAAAATCTGATACTATATGAAATAGCATTAGTCTAAAACTTATATATTCGGGGTATACAGACATGGTTCAATTAACCACTGAACAACAAACATGGTTCAATTAACCACTGAACAGAGAACTTCGTAATCAAAACGTTTTAGGAAACAAATACCTTGCAGCAGGCTCGTGTTGCTTTTGGATTGATTAACTTTGCATAATCCCCTAGACAACGGGGCGGAGAGCCGTTCCGGGCGTTAGCCAGGGGCGGGAGGGTACTAATTCGGCTTGGCTATTTACACCCGGGGAAAAGAAAGCACTATAGCTGCTAAAAAATGCTAAGCATTAGCGAAGTCTAAAGTTCATCAATAACCGCGGGCGCGTGACTATGGTTCATGGGTGGACCTCACTAATCACAAAAAATATGGCTGTTTGCCAGGAGTGGAATAAGCAAGATTTCAATTTTCAAAAGCATATATTTGGAAGTAGTAATATAGAGGCCGTTCGACCCTTATTTTTGGGGCGGCGCAGCATCATTAGCATACGTCATAATTACATGCAATGACGTCACGCGGGTAGGATCAGGCAAGTAATGACGACACTCGGGCGAGATTAAACACGATCGGGCGAAACTTGCTGGCTAAGCATTTTTTAGCGTCCCTCCTCGTGTGCGACACAATAGTTAGGGCTATATACAAGAGAATATGTTGTTGTCTGGAGTTTTATAAGTACAGCTCTAGCATTTTGCTGTTATTGTCAAGTGATTCCTTTAATTTAGCTCCTAGAGGAGTAAAAAATCTGATACTATATGAAATAGCATTAGTGTTATATATCTAAAACTTATATATTCGGGGTATACAGCTAAATGTTTTGTTTTTAAGTAATATATAAATATTATCAAGCGTCAAAACGCTGAGAAATAGCATGCGGTAAGAGTTATTATGTATCTACAATTAAACTAATATTTAAATCCCGGTCTGCCATATGAGGTCTATATACGGGAGAATATGTTGCTGTCTAGGGTTATATAAACACATGGAAATTAGAGGTTATGATATATAATTGTCAAGCGATTTCTATATTTTATTGGTAGTTTTTTAAAGTACTAAAACTCGGATAATAGTCAGGGATGTAAGGGCATCAAATGGACTGTTTGGTTCACATTCTTCCAAAAGCACCAAATTTGACCCAGATGTTGTCCATACCGTACTTTTTCGATTTTTGATGGGCGCCAAGGTCGGCACCCCCCGGGACCGTCTTATTGGCGAAATCCAATATGGCCGCCACCGGGGTTAAAAATCAATTATAGTCGAACAACCAAAAAGGCAAGAATCGTGAAAAATACGACTTCTTAAGGCGTTACTAGGTTGAACAATCTGATTTTGAATATTACAGCGACGGTTTGAGGAAAAGGAAATCTTAAAAAAGTACATTTAATGTCTATTTTGACTAATTATATCGCTTTTCACTGTTTTCAGTGTTCATTAACCTGAATATAGCCCATTGATATAGCCTTCATTTCAGGTCATAGTCACATGTGTATTGGGATCACCTGAGTCATTCGAAATGTGGAATCAACGTTCCCTAAATTTACCCCAATTCAAGTTCTGGTCAACCATTATCGAGTTGGAACTGCTGATGGCCCGCTTTGTCCGATCCCTTCGTGAGGGGGATTTCGTACTGTATGTGCAGGCATGCGATGAACTCTGTGCTTGGTTTCACGCAATGGACCATACGAACTACGCACGTTGGCTCCCAGTACATGTACGCGACATGGTCGAGCTACCCGAGAATCGCCCGGATGTATATGCTGAATTCATGAAGGGAAACTTTGTGGTACAAAAGTCTGCTAAAAATTCTGCCTGATCGCCAAAGATCAAGCCCACGAACAGTCCAACAAAAGCCTACAGGCACATGGCGGAGTTGTTGGACTCTATGAGAATCCAGAGGCCCTTGCAGTGTTCACTGATGTTAGCCGGGACTGATTGTGCGTGGATAGTTGAAGAATTTGAAGCCGTTTACGACCCACCACCTTCATCCACCGCTCATCACGAGGAAAGGCACAGCTTGCAAGTCAAGTTTTGCAAGGATGTACTATCGTTTGTCGACGTGGTAGTGTACATGGGAAACCCTTTCATTGCCACACGTCAGGAGCTTGTTGCACTCGATACACAGAATGTCATGGAACACGTCGTTGTTATTTCTCTATCTCAAATCCATGCAGTGGGCCAAGCCCTTCACGCAGCATATGTCACGGAAAGGCTGGAAAAGGCTACAGTACTAATATCCGACACCATGTATTCAACAACTTGTTCACCTTTGCCGACCAACCTGACGCCAAGAGAAAAGGCAGGAAGGACAATTGTACACAGAAGCAGAACATGACTTTGATAACGCAACTTTCCCTTTCACTTCAGTTGCGTCCCGATGCCGACATGATCGACTTCTTCCGCTTCGAAAACCAAAGAGAACCATCGAGACTGGCGGATCAAGGGTCACTGCGAGCTGGGACGAAGTCTGACGTACTCGAATGCCTCAATGCGCCGACTGGCTGTGTATCTGCTGCAACACATGCCACGGTCGTAGTGTTGGATATGGCGGCAGTGATCCTCATGGTGCGCTCCACAACAGCCAAGACATTTAACAAGTATGTGTCACTCAACATCATACCATTTTTGGAGGCCCAAATGAAGAATACTACCCAACGCATCGACGCTGTATGGGATAATTACCCAGAGGAAAATAACCTTAAAGCCCTCACACAACAACGACGCGGAAATGGCCCACGGACAAGAGTCGGCGATGGCAGCACTCCAATCCCGAAGCGAAGATTAACATGGACGGAAAGCTTCTGCTAAGTACACACTTCGAAACCGTGCTTGTCAACAGGTGGGAAATTTGTCGTCGCTGACCAAAAAATTGCGGGCAGAAACAAAGCTCATTGCATTTACATTCAAAACAAAGCAGAAAGTTAGCAAGAAGCTGTTTTAGCTGACGATTTTTTGCTTTCCATTCAACGATTTACAAATTATTGGTTATTCTTTTAAAAGTCGATCATGAATTCTTTGTTTTGGGATGATTGTTTTGTAATCGAGTGATTGGAAGAAGTTAATATGGCGACGTGAACATGGGAGTAAATACCGTATACGTCGATCTATGGCTTGTTTAAAACCGTAATAAACGAAGAAAGACGTGATTTGAGAATGAAATGTAAGTTGAAATTAACTTTATATGCCTCAAATTTTCCATCCTATGTTTCTTAATGTAACTTCAGCTGTCTAAGTTCAAAATACAAGCTCGCGAAATTTGACAAATTTTGAAAATATGTAAAAATAGCTTGACTTTGAACTGTATTTTCTCAAAAATAGCCCGTGGCCTCAATTTCAAATATAGCTAAATGAAAAGAAAAAAGTTTTCGGCGTTTGTAGGTATCAAGCATATCATCAGGAAAATAGGGGCTCACAATGTTTTAGTTCAGTCTTTGAGACCCAGTTGCTTCGCACGTGTTGTGGTCAAATTTTTGCCAAGAATCAAAGGCCGAAATGTGAACTTCCTTCATGAAAACCGCTTCGAGAAGGGTCTGGTTTGAAAATTTAGCTATTAATTTCGATTTCATGAGCATATTTTGGTTACACGTTAAGTATTTTTGTGCTTGATGAGATTCAAAATTTGTTGTATATTCAAGCCCGGCTTTTGTGTAATTTTGGTGATGACCGGAACAGAAATAAAGATATTTTAAAAACTGGCCGTGGCCTCACGATAAAACTTTCTACAAATGTTCTCTGTTTCATGTACTTTTATTTGATATCTTAGGTATAAGCGTAAAAATAGGGGCTCATACAGTTTACGAGGTTGTAAAATGCATGACTTGCCTCTATTTTCATGTAAACATTCGAAATTCTTCGACAGCAAAGTAGCAACTGTTTCAGATCGAATGCACACGGACAGCCCACCAGAGACAATGGCAGGGTACTGAAATAGAACGTCACTAAAAAGTTCTGTATGATTAATTTAGATCATGTCTACTCTTTCAACATAAAACAGTCATTTATTTTGTACAAACATTTGGCAATATTTACACGATTGTGCCTTTTTGTAAACACGCGTTGCGTGTATTCCACGCAGTTGTGTTGCTCACTTTGCTCGCGCATGCTCAGACAAATTTCCCACCTGTTGTGCTTGTCAATAGATATTGTGACCTTACAACACTCCAGCCATGCAACCACTCCGAGGAAGACACCAGGATCCTCCTGCATCTGGCACATGCCGTACAACAGGGTCATACAGCAGCTTATGTTCGCACTATGGACAACGACGTCGTGGTATTAACAGTCCAGTTTTCATGGCCAGAAATGACGGACATTGTGCAAGCGTACCAGTCGGTCAGCGGCTTGTCCGTTTATCCACAAGAATTCCTAATTATCCTTTTACGACCTATCAAAGCATCCGGAATTTCAAATATTCGCGTGGGTGTTGTTTGTAAAGCAAAGCATGAAGTATTCACTCAAGTTGTGGCCTTTAGTTTACCAGGCTCAGGATGTTGCTAAGCAATGACTACGGGAACGAAAAGAGAAGCTTTCGACGAGTATTTTGGTACCAAACATGTAGCAAGGCAATCAATATTTCGAGTTTGGCAAGCGAATGGAATATCACTTTTCGACCGCGATGTAATATTATAATATGCATATTAACGCACCGGCTTGCGAATTTCAAAACAAAAAAGCAGAGCTTTTATCGGGTGTAACAAAATAATAAACGGCGGAAGGCAAGGCTATACTATTCGTCAAAATAAAATGATTTCAACAAATTTCGATAGTTGAATATATTACGAGATATAGCCTTTTGAGCGAGAAACCTTTATAGATTCCTATGTAAAGTGAGGTAAAATGTTGTAATATTCAATCGCAAAAAGCAGAGCGAGTATGCAAAGAAATGAGAAATTTTTTTCTTAATGTGTTACTATACGACCGCTTCTTCCGGAACCAATTTCAACAAATTTTCAAAGATTTATATATAGCATGCTATATTGAAAATACTCCGCTCGCCTGATAATAAACATAGGGCATTGTGCAGCCATTGTTGCGTGGGTGCTCGTGGTAACGTGAAACCTGAGAAATGAAAATGTCCGTGATTTCTGGCCATGTCGATACGCTCGGTCTATCGGAGCTCTGGGTTGATTTTGGAACCGGAAAAAAGGACCGTGACATTCCAGTCCATGTCCTGCATTCCAATCTTTGTCCATCAAAGTCTCTCGCGCTACCCCTCTTCCACAGCTCAGCTGGATGCGACACAACTTCGCAGTTTCTTGGTTGTAGCTCTCACGGAAGACCCCAATTGCTGTCTTCAGTATCGATTCTGTGCATATGCAGTGGATTGAACGCTTCGTTGTCCTTATGTACAGCAAGGGCTGTGGTGTTGCCAGAGTGAACGAAGCGAGGCTTCGTGTCTTCACCAATGGAAGCAGATCATTGGAAAACCTCTCACCGACCCAAGCTGCTCTATTCCAGCATGTGAAACGAGCATAATTGCAGGCCAGTTTCTATTGGGATAAGGCCACCTCCGTCCAGCAAGAAATCCCCGACTTATCTGAGTGGGGCTGGCATAAAGATGGCACCAGTACATGGCAACCTTTATGGACCACACTCACAGATACTTCAGTGGCATGCGCTGTTCTATTGCATTGCGCTTGCCTCAAGGAATGTCAGGGAAGGTGCAAATGCAAACGAGCTGGTGTCAAATGCGCAGCCCTCTGCAAATGTGAAGGCGGGTGCCTGAATAACGAGGGCAGTGATGACCAGTAACAAGTACATGTTGCGAACAAGATAGATTAAAATCCAGAGCGTATACCTATATGACATTCATGTTAAATAAACCAGGTTTCATTAATTAATGTTAAATAAACCAGTATTTTTGAATGGCAATGTTGGTTTTTAAAATTTATTTAACAACGCATCAGCAGACCTAGTATCCATTTTTAACAATTAAGTTGTTAATAAAAATTGTTCCTCCTTCTATCGTCAATTTTTATCATTACACGAGTGACTATGACCTGAAATAAAGGCTATATTCAGGTTAATGAACACTGAAAAGCGATATAATTAGTCAAAATAGACATTAAATGTACTTTTTTAAGATTTCCTTTTCCTCAAACCGTCGCTAAAATATCCAAAATCAGATTGTCCAACCTAGTAACGCCTTAAAAAGTAGTATTTTTCATGATTCTTGCCTTTTTGGTCGTTGGACTATAATTGATTTTTAACCCCGGTGGCGACCATATTGGATTTCGCCAATAAGACGGTCCCGGGGGTGCCGACCTTGGCGCCCACCAAAAATAAAAAAAGTATGGTATGGGCAACATCTGTGCCAGATTTGGTGCTTTTGGAAGAATCTGAACCAAAAAATCCCCTACAGCCCTGACTACTGGCGGGACAAAAAAATATAAGCAGTTGCTTCGAGCACATGTAAAACGAGTGTTTATTGCTGCCGAAGGCAGCACACTATTCTTGACGATGTGTTTTTCTCGCACCAGTCCGTTTCCGGTTCGCGAGTTATATGGATCCAACAAGTCATTTTTAGGATGTTTGTACGGATGATCAGATTTATGACGTATTTTGACGTCACAGAAATTTTACTGTAAAAATAACATACTCCAGATCGCGATTTGACTTTCCGAATACCCTGGTTGAATCTCGCGAACACCACCATGGACCATGATAATTTGTAAACGCGTTTACATGTTCGCATATATAGTGTCGTCGCAAATTTTATGTCTGGACTCTGGCTGTTTGTCGAATTATTTTTCAAGGTAAGATTAAAGTTGATCACAAATAACAATGTGTTCTGGTCGATACGCGTTGAAACTTGAAGCGAATGAATTGACTGTTTTCAAATAATTATATTTTTAGGTGCATACAAGTCTTCATATAAACAAGTGCAGCTCGTCGTTGGTCAGTTTGTAAAAAATCTGATTGAACTTGAACATAGCTTAATAGAACATCGTACTTCAAGGTATAAATAATCACAGTGATAGTTTATTGGGCCATTGCATTTTTAAACCAAACCCTCCCCCCCCCCTATTGAGGACATCCATTTTTTGGTCTCCCCTCCCCTGGAATTTCCACATATTTTAAGCGAATTTTGAGCCTCCCCTGTGGAATTTCCGCAGATTTTTATTGAATTTTAGCCATCCCCATGGAATTTCCGCAAATTTTTTATGAACTTTTAACCCATCCCATGGAAATTCCTTGACAGTTTTTGGTCTAGCCAGTGGAAATTCCGTATTGATTCTTTGATTAGTAGCTATCCCTTGGAAAATTCCTTGCTGATTTTGATCCTATCCTTTGGAATTTCTTTTCTATTGTGGACCCTCCCATGGAAATTCCTTCATTTTTGGTTCACTTTTGCAGGGGGTCATTGGAAATTCCACATGTC